CGTTTAGTCACACCATCAGTCGATTAAAAAGATATTCGGATTTGCTTGAACAAAAGTTTGTACGAAAACAATGTCTACCGAATTTATCACCCAAGAACAAGCGGCATTTGACTATGAAGTGTCAGAAGTTAAGAGGTGGTGGAATACGGAACGTTTTCGTCTCGTAAAACGACCTTACACTGCTGAACAAATAGTGTCTAAACGAGGTCTCCTTAAGCAACAATATGCCTCCGATACTCAGGCTAAAAAACTTTGGGCATTATTAAAGAAGCACCAAAAGAATGGGACCGCTTCTCATACATTCGGTTCCTTAGATCCCATTCAAGTAGCACAAATGGCTAAATACCTTGAAACGGTGTATGTTTCTGGCTGGCAATGTTCTTCAACTGCCTCCACTTCAAATGAGCCGGGCCCTGATCTTGCTGACTATCCAATGGATACTGTTCCAAACAAAGTTGAGCATTTATTCTTTGCTCAACTCTTCCATGATAGAAAACAACGCGAGGCAAGATTTAGCGTTTCAAAAGAGGCTCGATTAAAAATTCCTTTTGTTGATTATTTGCGCCCAATTATTGCTGATGCTGATACAGGCCACGGTGGTATTACTGCTACGTTAAAACTTGCTAAGATGTTCGTTGAACGTGGTGCAGCAGGAAGTATGATATATCATATTATTGAAAATAAAATATTAATATATGAAATTTACACGAAACTGTTACTAAAATCTATTTAAAATTTAGTACATATCGAAGACCAAGCTCCTGGCACCAAGAAGTGTGGACACATGGCTGGCAAAGTCTTGGTTCCTATCTCAGAACATATTAATCGTCTAATCGCTATTCGTGTTCAATTTGACATTATGGGGGTCGAAAATATAGTCGTTGCACGTACCGATTCTGAAGCCGCGACTTTAATTACCTCAAACATTGACCCACGTGACCATGCTTTCATCATTGGTGTCACTAATCCCAAACTTGATTCTCTGGCCAATTCGTTGAATAAAGCCCAGGAACAAGGCAAATACGGAAATGCACTAGCAGAGATTGAAGAAAAGTGGACACAAGCAGCTGGTCTCAAAACCTATCCCAAAGCCATATCCGATGCCATAAAAGCATCCAACAAACCAAACAAAGATAAACTTTTGCGTGAATGGGATAATAAATCAGCCGGTTTGTCGCACGAAGATGCAAAAGCACTTGCAAAATCACTTGGATTTGAAATCTTTTGGGATTGGGATCTGCCGCGTACGCGTGAAGGATACTACCGTTATCAAGGTGGTACTAAATGTGCTATCAACCGCGCTTTAGCTTTTGCACCATATACGGATATATTATGGATGGTGAGAATACTTATTTTCAAAAACTTTATAATGTTTATTATTGTAACTGACTTATCGTTCTGTAGGAAACCAAAAGTCCAATTTATGAACAAGCAAAAGAATTTGCTGAAGGTACTTCTACTTGTGTGCTTTTAATTTCTGCGTTCATATTATCGGTCATAATTTCTGACAATTAATCAATCAATAGGAGTGCTATCAAAATATCCAGAAGCTATGTTAGCCTATAACTTGTCTCCAAGTTTTAACTGGGATGCCGGTAACTAAAGAGCATATGAGGATTTCTCATTTAATTAATATATTATTTACTATTATTTGTTTATTATAGCTGGCATGAATAATGACCAAATTCGCACCTTTATTTGGGATTTGGGAAAGCTTGGATTTGTGTGGCAATTCATTACATTAGGTGGTTTTCATTCGGACGCCCTGGGAATCGGTAAGAACGATAAATAAATATTCTGTCCTTTCTTTTTACGGCAATTTATTAATTTTTCTTTAAATTTCTCCCAGATGTATTTGCTCGCAATTATGCTAAAGAAGGCATGTTGGCCTACGTCCAAGGTATTCAACGTCAAGAACGCGCTAACGG